CTTCTGTTCAGACAATTCTTACAGAACACATGACCACATGGGGTCGTGACTGGTTTGTAAAACAACCTGAAAATAATATTAAAATATTTTATTTAAGGTAATGCTAATAGCTGAGGTGAAGTTCAGATGTCAATCTTTACACACGTCTTTTGTACTYCAATACTTCAGTACTATAATTTATTAAAAATGTCAAAGCGGTCTTGTTTTCCACAATTTTTCCTCACCGGCAGCACAATGTACACTCAAAATCTTGTGCATCACAATTCCTTAATTTGGATGTTTCTACTTCTTCCYCCTCGGCTCCAGCAACCTCTACAGAAAACAGAAATTGTTAAAATAATTCAGTTTAAGGAAGTTTTTTACGGAAGTTTCTTTAGTAGTCTAGTATGGTCTAGTATAGGTTATAAACATATGAAAGTTCAAGGTGATCATGGCCTGATGCTGACAGATTACATAACAGTTTCAATCTTTCATCTTACCAAAGCAATCTTACTTGGAAATTCCAGAAAACAATTTTTAGTTTTAAAAAACTCCAGATAAATAGAGAAATGATTGTTAAAATAATGAAGTTTTGCAACTTTATTTTGAATATAATTCTTGCAGAGACATTAAAAGTATGATATATTCAGATGACTTTGTTGCTGTATTTACATATTCACTGTATGATATATTCACCAGATTTCTCTCCTTCTTCTTCTTCAGTTCTTGTGTTTTTGTACTCTTCAAACAATTCCATCAATTCTGCTATCATAGTGAGACTGGCAACTGACTGATCATCTATGGTGACTTGTTCATTGAACATATCTTGTATTACCTGCCATACAGGTTGACAGAATGACATTTAATCTAATGCAAGGGATGCAATAATGATTTATTATTATTATCATTTAGGATGCCTGCAAAGAAAAAATACATAAGGTGTATATCCTATAAGATATATTATTAAATAGTAGCCTTACTTCTTTCATGAGGTTCTTTTTTTTATATAAATAATTGAGAATCAAAGTGCCATGGTGTACTTACCTCAGTTGTTAAATTTCTCACTATCTTGTTTCCTGGATCTTTTCCTAGACATTTCAAGAATGCAAAGGCAGCTTCTGGTTTTCTTTGTAGTCCAATAAGTGCACACCCTTTTCTATAGAAACCCTTTTAAATTTGATATGTTATGAGAACATTGCATAATTCCCTCTAATATTAGCTGGTAATTTCCTTATAAAGTCATTACATGCTATGATATTCTGCCATTTGATCCCTTATTCAGGGACGATCCCTAATTTCAGCTGCTGTGATAATGATCTCAAAACAGCAGTAATCCTTAATCCATAATACGCTATCTGTTAGACAGCAAGAGTACTGGTGTTAAAACTTAACAAAAGAAACTTTGCTGAATAAATGTTGATAATTTTGAAATGGCAGTTATTGACAATACCATGGTAACAATATTGGTAATATTGTTTTGATATTTTCATGTCATATGGGAAGCGACTTACCTTGGCCCATTCTGGTTGAATTTTGCAAACCATATTTGCATACTGTAAAGCTTTTTCAAACTYGCCATTTTGAGTCATGACAAGAGCAATGTTGCTGTTTAGTGGTGGATCTTTGGGATCTACAAATCAGGAAATAGCTTATGAAATAACATGTAGAATGCTAATTTATAGTTTTTGTTACACAGACATTACAATTTGGCAAAGTATACATTTCCTGACAAAAAGCCTATTTGATAGGAGGCTAAGCGGGGGGGATTAAGGGTCAATCTTGACTTTGACAATGCGTCTTTCTAAAAGCAATAATATTTTCCTTTTGAATGTGTTTCCAAACCATGGGATGAACAATAATATTAAAAACATTGCTTTTACTCAGTAATGATTTATACGAGTAAATTTCATTCAAAGGAGAAAAAAATTAACTTGACATCAAGTTGTCACGCAATGCCACATTCACAAATATATAAAACGCATAAAAATATTTTAAGCTAAATAATAACATCAAAAAATAATAAACACAATTGATGAAATAAAGACATGTGAATATCGATCCACAAAAAGGCGAATTGTACGAGTGGATGACATAACTGAGTTATGCAACATTAAGCCCCGTCGTTACGTAACATTTAAAACAATAATAATAAAATATAACGTAACTCATATTTCCTACCTAATTCCACGGCTTCATTGTATTTCTTCAGGGCCTGGTTCCTTTTTCCGTCTTTCAGTAATACATTCCCTTCCAAACGTCGCCTGGAAGCTTCAAATTCATTTTTAAAATACTTCCAAATAATTTCTTGTAATATGACATTGACCTTTACTCCACATCCACTGTTCGGCTTGCCACAGATTATACAGCCTTTATTATCGAGCTTTGTGACACAATTTAGGCAGATAGTGTGCCCACAGGACAAAGTAGTTGGTTCAGTGTAGATTCCTCTACACACTGAACAACTTATCCTATCCTCCGACGAGTGACACACTGGATTGTCAGCTAGGTGAATACTATCTAAAATTTTCACCAAATTGTCTATAAAATGTGAAATATGAGATTCATTTATTTGAGAAATAGATGCAGCCTTTTGGTAACTCTGAGCAGACTCGTTAAATCTTGAGAGTAGAATCAAAGTCAATGATTTCCCGAGAAGAAGTTCAAATGTATCTGCTGGGTTCCTTTGTTCCGAGCTTGTGGCAATATTACTGTCGTAGATAACCAATGCCTCTTCAAACTTGCCCTCAGATACTTTGCTTTCAGCTTCGTCCATTCCCGATCTMCTTTTTCGCGTTAAATGCTTCCTGATCCAGAGATGGGTCCGTTTTAACCTGGTTTGCATGGTATGTCTACGTTTTATCCGATCAACTGTATCACGTGACTGTATATAATGTAAATAAATATATAATGCGTTATATTAAAATGTGTTACGTAAGAAACAGACCACGTGTTGAGCGTGGCTTGCGTACTTAAAAAGCGAAAGGGAAATTTTTGAATCTCTGACATCGAAAACTCATTGTGTTTTTACAAAGGCGGATATTTGTTTACAMAATTTTCCTAATTAGCATAAAGTTTAAATTGATAAAGTTTGAGGCCTTTACATGCAATAGTTTATGAGATATTAGCATTAAAAGATGCTGAGTGGCAAAAGTCATATAATCTCTCTAAAAATTAGAATTTTTAAAACCGTATCACGCAAAAAGTATTCCATATGGGAAGCTCAAAATTGCGAGGAAAGCTTGTTGTGCTATGTTGTTTCAATATTCAGTGCTGATTTACTGATAGTTAGGTTTTAAAAAACGATATATGCTTATGCTAATGATATGTTAATGAACCGAAATGTAAACAAGTTATTCGCCTATTAGTTGACTGCCATTWCTGTATGTTTGTTTTTCTTTCGCACATTTGTTGTATAGTAAAACTGGKTAAATAATATAATTAAGTAAAAGTGTTGATTACATAAGTATTAGTTCTGGTACTTTAATTTGCATTTTCTCWTCGTGGAACGAACAACCCAGAACAGATGTCATCTGAATTATAGTTCTCGTGTAAAACGTTTTACAGGTTTTAACTTTGAGGGTCGTCAACATGGTACTCATTTTGACCTTGTTTGGCGAATCGTTACATAACGCGTTGCATAATACATAAGTTTATTAGCATTAAAGATTAAAATATATCCTTAGAAAAAAAGGATGTTATTGATTGAAGATTATGTTTTGGAGGGAGAAAATATTATTGAATATCCATTCCATTATTAAATATCATTTTATTATCAGTGTTTATCAGTTTATTAGAAAAGTCAAAGTTCTACAATAAATAAGTACATCTTGTATTGCATTGAATTCGATGCGAATTCTCATATCAATTGTTTTATATTCATATCTTACATTATTCTTAGAGTCATTTTCATCCGTCTGTGAAATAGGAACATGTTGTACTATATACTATTATCCCCTATTAGGTCCCAATAGTTTGACTTATGACATACGACGAACAAATTAAGCAAAAACGTTTTGATTTTGCCTTTTGGTTGCCTACTACACATTAATTCACTGGAAAAAATCGTTCACTTTAAAAGGTTGTAAATTTGATGTAAATATTATGTAAGTGTCCAAAATGATGTAGATTTGATGTAAATTTGATGCTTAAATTTGATGTAAATTTGCATCAAATTTACATCATTTTGGACACTTACATAATATTTACATCAAATTTACAACCTTTAATTAAAGCGCGCGATTTTTTGCAGATAGACGGATGAAAATGAATCTAATATGTATTCTTAATACGTTGTTTTCCATACTCGTTGTCATATTTTTCGTAATCGCTGCTWTATTTACGACTAGATTATTAAACAAGTTTTTGTTTTAGATTTTTGTTTTCCTGAAGCATGTCGACTTTTCTTTAATCCTTGGGATGGGAGCGAGGCTTCACTTGTTTGAACCTGGTCGAGTTTTCCGATTTCATTAGCATTTCCAGAAGCATTTTCTCCATTCGTTGGGTCTTTT